GCTTGATGATGTCAAACAAACTATTAATTCAATTAGGCCTGACCGTGCCCAATCGTCCAATACATGATGYTTTTAAACAAGAGGTGCGCTGAGAAAAACTGTATGGTCTCAACACTTTGAAAGGATTAATTCAAACAAATCTTCCACTGTTGACAGAAGTATGTATTTGATACTCTTATGAAAGTAACAAATGATGAAACTGGAGTGATATCATACTTCTTAGATGCACTTTTTTGATTTCATTAATATTAGCAACAATTCGCTCACAAAATAAAATTGCATTTGCACTCGCTTCGTCTGGAATCGCAGCAACTTTGCTTGAAGGTGGTCCAACACCTCATTCAGCACTAAAATTGCCATTAAATATGCAAAGCAATGAAACTCCAACYTGCAACATTTCGAAGAACTTTGCAATTGCAAAGGTTTCGCAGCAATTTCAATTGATTGTTTGGGATGAATGCACGATGGCACATAAAAAATCGTTGGAGGCTTTAGACAGAACCTTAAAATATCTACGGAGCAATCATAACCGATTTGGTGGTGCAATGATTTTATTAGCATGAAAAGGTCAAACATTGACAGTGATTCCACGATCAACGCCAGCTGATGAACTCAATACATGTCTAAAGTCCTCCAATTTGTGGAAACATGTCAAAGTACTTAATTTAAGCAAGAATATGCGTGTCGAGTTACAAAATGACCAATCTGGAAACATATACTCTAAACAACTCATTGGCATTGGTAATGGCAAATTTCCTATAGACATGTTGACTGGCTGCATTAATTTTCCTCGAAGTTTTGGTCAGTTAACTCRATCAAAATATGAACTTATTCAGAAGGTGTTTTCAGATGTTGCTCGAAATTACAGAAACCATGATTGGTTGAGCGAACGAGCTATATTGGTTGMAAAAAACATARATGTAAATGAATTAAATTTCAAAATTCAAGAACAAATTAGAAGTGAATCAAGGATATATAAATCAGTTGATTTGGCAACTAACCAATATGATGTAGTCAACTATACAACAGAATTTTTAAACTTGCTGGATTTACCAGGATTGCCACCTCACAATCTTCAATTAAAGGTTGGATCGGTAGTTATAATTTTGCGAAATATCAACCCACCGCGTCTTTGCAACGGCACACGGTTAACGATAAAAAAAAATACCAAACAACGTGATAGACTGATAGAACGAACTATACTGAAAGGAAAGTATAAAGGAGAAGATGTTCTCATACCGTGCATCCCAATGATTCCGACTGATGTGCCATTTGAGTTTAAACGACTACAGTTTCCAGTGCGGCTTGCTTTTGCTATGACCATAAACAAGTCTCAGGGGCAATCATTAAGTGTTTGTGGTATTAATCTGGAAAACCCATGTTTCTCRCATGGTCAATTGTATGTTKCCTGTTCCCGTGTTGGAAAACCATCAAATTTGTTTGTCCATGCGCCAGGTAATCAAACAAAAAACATCATATATCACAAAGCACTACAATGAAAATAAAACTGATTTTTGTTAATAATTATGATTGACATGATTAACAATAAAGCGATTACCTACTTACTTTTAAATGTTTATATATGTTTTATATAATTATTTTTTATTCACCCCGCCCTATCACCAGGGTGACGGTTCTGATCAGGAGAATTTTTTGCCCTGACAGKACGAGTACGGTGACGGGGAGGTGATACAAATTAAATTAAATAACAAATAAAATTGAATAAAKTTTGAGTCATATGGAGATGGTACATTTAAAGGGCAACGGAGTGCACGGGTTTAGCTAGTTAATAATATATAAATTAATAATTATTTCAACTAAACTAAAGTTATTATCAAGTGTCCAGTAAAATTTTCTAGTATTTTTGATGAACTGCATCATTTTGAACTTAAATTTTATTTTAATCAGTGTTACAAACGAGATAGTTTGTTTTATTTTTTTTTTAAATTTGGAGTTTTGACCATAATGTAGAAAATTACTTAAAATATAGAGAATGATTTTTTAATATCGGTACTGAATTTTGGTATGGAATGTATTTGCAAACTTTTTTTATAATCAACACTATCATTATTGTAACAACGTTATTTAGTTATTCTGTGATTATTATTCCATATATTTAGTGGTATCACATAACAGTGAAACAGTTATTATTAGGAAGTCGATAACAGCCACATCTCTTGRATCCCCATCCATATAATTATTTAAAAGCCTTGTAATTGAAATTTTTCAATTCATGTCAAATATTCAAATTACTTGTTTTTATTTTATCAATATTATTTCAGTTATAATAATTTTTATTATTATTATGTAATGACAAAGTATTTAAAAATATGAACAGTTATTTATTAGCTATAACAATGTATGTACATACCTATTGTGGATTATAATTATATAAATATATAATACAGGGTTTATCAACAATATTTCTGGCTCTAATGTGGTCTTGTACAGTTTTGTTACTGTAAATTACTTTTTTTAGTTTTTATTGCTCTTC